TCTATAGACATTGACTTTGAGGGCCTAAAAACTAGAAGAGAGGAGCGAAAAATAGATTTGAAAGTGCAACTAGGGATTAACAGAGAATACTCACTTTGGAATTATTCTAAAAAATCAATTATGCATTACTAGATGGCCTGGAATCCTTAGGGATATTATGGACTGAACTGTGTCTTTCCTTGAACTCATGTATTGAAGCCTTAATCTCCTATCTGATGGTTATTTGGAGATAGGGCCTTAATGGAGCTAGTTAGGTTAAGTGAGTAGGGCTGGGGACAAAATCCAGGGGAATTGTTATTTTTACAAAAGGAGTAGACAAGAAAGAGCTCCCTCTATCTCCCTGTGTGCTTGTGTGTCTCTCTAAGGAAGGGCACAGGGAGAGAATGGCTATTTCTGAACCAGGAAGAGAGTTCTCACCAAAAACTGACCATGAACTCTCAGACTTCCAGCCTCCAGAGCCACCAGCCTATAGTATTTTGTTATGGGCCCCCAAGAGAAAAGGGTCCTTGAAAGGAGATTTTAGGGACAGTGAGAAGGAGATAGGGACATAGGGCATGTGGCATGGCTGTTGTTGGCAGATGACTATAGAAATAAGCAGCTGCTTACTGGAAATTGCCCTATGTGAAGCCTTTCCAGGTGCAGAACAATTATTCTTAGAGACCTGCTTGTATGAATTCACTGGAAAGCTCCTGGACCCCATGAACTTTAGTTCACACTAGCAACAGATCATCCTAGCAACAAAGGCTAAGACCTTAATTGGCTTAGAACTCCTGTAAGAATAAGTAGAGCAAAGATCCATGTGGAAAAGCTCCTCTCAAGCTTCTCCCTGCCATACAGCTTGCTGTTCAACAGTTCTTTCCCCACCTTCCCAATTGCAAGACAACAGATTTTATGCATTACACTGAAATTTTCAAGAGTAGCTTACAATATCCACCCACAGTCAAATGTAGAAGAGTACAAGTGATCTGTCCAAGTGCTAGAGATCTGAAGAATCCAGCTGAAGGCCTAGAGCCCACGGCAATGTCCCTCACAAGTCTGTATCAGGAGGCTCGGGAATTTCCTACGGAAGACTGAAGGGTCTGTGCTCAAAAGCCCAAGGGATGGTGCTGGAAGCTAAAGAGTCTGCACTGGCAGGCCAGAAGACTGGTGCTGGAAGCTGAAGAATCTGCCTTGAGGACCAAGAGACTACACTCAAGGTGAAGGTGAAGACGTGGGCTGCTCTCAAGAGAACAGCAGCCATCCTTGCAAAAGCTAAGACCAGAGCTTAGCAGAAGAGAACAGCTGAAGCTTCTCCAAAGAAAAGCAGCCAGAAGGAAAATCAGCAGCAATGAAGGTCTTCTGAGAGAAATCAGCATAAAATCCTCCCCTTCTGTTCTTTTATACTCTTCCAACAACAATCCTCCTTAACCACACTAACTCAATTCAGCTGGGTGCTCCCACTCACGTTGACAATTAATTAGTACCATAGCAATATTATAAGTAAACCTCTGCTTCACACTATTTTCATTTCTGAGTTCATTCTGCACCCAGACAACCTGAGCTCTGTATATTTCACTTGGGAATCTTTGGCTTTGGATCAGCTTTGTCTCACTGCTGCCCCCACCCCGGCCCCTCTTTACCGGAGTGTAGGGCAAGAACCCAAGGAGCGGGGGTTGCACCATGGGAGACCCCCAGGTCCCCACACCCCTGCTGTTATGTTACATTTAGTGCATTGGCTGGGAACTATGGGAAAGGCCACTGAAGACCCCTGGACATGGTCAGTATACCCAGCCTAAATGGGAGTGGACACAGTAGGACACTCTGTCCTCTTCTTGGCTCACTCACCAGGAAAGCCAGGAAAGTCTCCATATGGCCTGCTGCAATAGTGTTTCCCTGACTGGGCCCCTTACTGGGAGTGAGGCAGTGAGTGGCAGTGCTGACTGTAAAGGAGGCATTGTGGTATGCACCTCACTGTGCTAAGTGGTGGGATACTCACTTAACTGCTGAGACCCTTATGTCCAGAGGTATTGCCTTGGTCATGAGTAGGAGTCAGACCACCTTTAGGCCCTTGATACAAGGAGGGAAAATCAGGAATCCTGGGGTCTCTCTGCAAGATCTCCTTGTCCAGAAACCTTAGGCTACAAGTTCTTTACTGAGGTTGCTGCTTTGTATCTCACAAATGAGGAACTACAGATAATTTCTAAAATTGGGTGCCTGCCTCAGAACTGTCACTTTTGCAAGTTTGGTAAAAAAGAAGAAATTTACCTGGTATTACAGAAATCCTTTACCTTTTTGGTGGAAGCATAGGAATTATATCCCTATTTTAATTCACCTACTCTATCATGGAGAACCACCAATAGAAAATAGAAAGTACTAATGAGAGGAACTGGTCTCTACCCCCCCCCCCTTGTGTTGTTGCATGAGTTAAAAAAGATATTTGAGAGACCAAAATGGGAACAATCTCATCTTCCCTTCTTTTATTGGCCTGCTGTTGGGACTGTGTTACCTTGGACTTCAATGCTCCAAGTTAACTATAGCCTTTCCAACAGAGAGATTTTAACCCTCCAGCAATTAATTATTTGGTCCCCCCTTAACCCTCCTAAAGAGACAGCCTTCTGGGAATGTTTCCTATATCAGCAATGGCTTAAACAAGCCTGACAAAACTACTCTGGACCAGGGCTCCTTTCTAGGTCAGATTCCAGGCCCTGTGTCTCACCCCATGGATGGGTTCCAATGGCAGGTCCCCTAGGCCACAGAGGGCTGAGCCAAGAGGATGAGGAATACCTCCTCCCAGACATGAAAGGTTACTCTTCAAAGGAGAGGATGCCTCACCACCTGAGTCTGATAGGTTGTCAGAGTCAACATCCTAGGACGCAGAAGACTAAAACCTTACAGGTTTCCATTTTTCCTCTTTTCCCTTGACACAGATGGGGGCTAGAAAATCCATACCTCCCCAGTCACCTTTAGAATGCCTACCTGAACATTGGAAAGAACTAGAATCCCAGACTCTTAGGGAAGAAGGGTTTATGTCATTTGCTATTTTATAATTTGACAAAAATGACTATGACTGACTGGAAGATTGTCCTGTACAGAGTTAAACATTTAAGCATGTTTCTAATATAACAATGTCATCATAATTATTATGCCAAAATGTTATGCTGTCCTCAATCTCAAATTTTCTCTATAAAACTTCATAATTGTTATTTTCTGGCATTTACAGAGGTTTGGCTTCTGGGATAACCATGATTGGCAAGAAATAGCCGTTCCCTGGTCATGTTATCTATTTAAAAGTGTTTGATGTCTTGATATGATCATAAAATTAAATCTACTGTTCCCATCAACGCTGATGTAACCAGTCCTTCTGGGTGTTCAACAACTGAGGATTAGAGACCAGGGAAAAAATAATTGGACCAGGGGACAGCCAATATTTTGGCCGTGGCCCTCCAAGGTCAACAAGGACCCAGGACAACAGAGGACCTTTCCTATAAGATTCTATAACTTTGTGAGTCACCCAACCTCCTGAGCAAGGAGATGGGTGGACCCCAAAGAAGAAAAATCATCCCCTGTACAGTATGATAAAAAGGAGAGTCACCAGAAAAGAATATCCCCCCTGCTTTGGAAGCCACAAGGTCAAGAAAGACTGTGACCCATCCTGGTGGCTGACACTGACAAAGGAGCTGAGAGGCTGTACACATGGTCCCACAAGTTACCCCTGGATAGCCTTAGCTGACCTTGATATTTGACAAAAGGTTAATTTTGACTAATAATGTTCTCACTTTGACTTGATCTTGAGCATCCAGCAGAAACAGTATGACCAAAGATAATAATATTCTAGACAAGACCAAAAGGGAGGTCAAATCGCTCACCCCTGCTATCAGTTTTCTGTCACACCTGCAGACAAGTCCAGGGGCCAGCTGATTACAATTGTCCTCTCCATTTTAGTGCTTATGCCTTAATCCTATATGCTTTAATCTCTTGGTAGGGTTTGTTTGTTTTCACCTAGAGCCTGCCAAACTTCAAGTGATCACACAAACAGGTGTCTGCATCTCAGCAAACAATGAGTTGACAGCTTGAGGTTAGAGACTTCCTCTTATAGGCTTACAGTCAATAGATCCTTGTTGATCTTGGAGGCCAGGGACAAAATAATAGCTGTCCTCTTAGCCCAGCCTTACACAGCACAAGCAGCATGAGTAGTTGCTCCACAAATACCATTCCAGGTGCATATCTCCATCCCCAGCCTCACCATTGTGCTGCCAGCTTGGGCCTCCATCCAGGCAGTCTCCTATAGGTGAAAAGCATGGAGTGAAAGAGCAACTCCATTCTTTTTTCCCAGGCAAGCAAGAGAATACTATGAAAGTATGGACTTCATAAGCATCTTTGTATCTCTTACCCAGTCATAATGGAGAAAGGAATGGAGAGTGGACCATGGATAGCTAAACAGAGATGAGCTAATCCATTAGAGTCAAAAGAGAGTCTACCCCACAAGGTATTTGGGACTCTGAGATTGAAGCAAGAGCTGGATGACTAGAAGGAAACTAAATCTGGGCAGGCCACATTTAAGAAGCAGAATTGTGATAATGAGATGAGAGTTATGGGCCAGAAGAAAAAGGAAAGCATTCCTATCAAAAGGAACATGAGCCATCTGTTGTGTACTGCTCCTAGCCATCTGCTCTTTGAGCTGTTGGGCAGTGGTGGTCTGGAGAACCAACTTACAAGTCCAGAGCAGAGAAAGCACCAATGTTACTGTTAAGTAAATGATAACAACCCAGGAAAGAACACAGACTTCCTGAATTTGGGAGTTCTGGCTGGTACCTCCTGTAGTAACTCCAAAGGAGAGTCTGAATTCAGTTTATGGAGCTGTATCTTTTACAGATAGGGAGGGACAAGCTTAGGTGGGGTAACTCAAAGCAGGAGTCTGAGATTGAGGAAACAAGACTGGCTGAGTATGTGGCTATAGCAACAGGCATTGTGACACCTAGCAGGTGGAACAGATGTGTCCTGTCCTACCCATTGTTCCTGACAGCAGGGTTGGGAATGGGGATGGAGGTGGGGAGGCTTCAGGATGCAGGAATGGGCTGTGATTGTTCTCAGAGCTCAGGAATTCAGGTGACTGAGGGTCTTCTGCAGACAGGAGTCAGATCCATCAGTCCTGATTAGTGCAAATTTTCCTGAAGCTTTTGGTAAGTGATTCCCACCTCATCTAAGCATCTATGAATGGAGGAAAATACTTTGTCAAACAGAGTGTATTTTATATATGGATAGAGATCTAAAGTGGGATTAAGAGGCACTATTGTGATGGGAAAAAATATATATGTATGTATATTAAATCTCTCCAGCATGGAAGGCAGTTTTATCTCTGATTTCTATGAGTCATCCAGAAGGACAAGTTTACAGAGAATCCCCAATATCTGCCAGTGATGTTCAGAATTTCAGTTTCTCCTGGTTATAAAAACATGAGATATGTCCCCGGACCATGCTACATAGGCTGCATGGTATCTCGATCCACACTGCAGAGGCACTGGGGGCCCATAAAGCCCCTGGTTATGAGCTTCAGAAGATAGAGCAGAAGTGAACAACAGAGAGAAGGCCTCTCAATGAAAATTGAAGCTCACTGGCAAAGTGAAGAAAATCTCTGCAATAAAGGTACACTGGACCACGGTGGTTGGTGAGTTGGTGGGATCAGCGCCTCCCACTGGAACCCAGACTCACTTTGGGGGAAGGGCAGCTGAAACCTGCAGTAGAATCTTGTAAAGTTCAATCCTGCAGGAGGTCAGAGACCTCAACTTGAGCCTTGCAGCCAGAAATCAGTCTGAATCTCAGTGGACTACAGCTGGATTACTGAGACTAATCGACTTAGATCTGCACACTGCTGCCCACATTGTCTACTGCGACAACAGAGACATATCCTGAAGGAGGTCCTTTTTAAAAATGTTATATTTTTTTTTCTCTCTCTCTCCTTCTTGTTCTTCATTTCTCTCCCTCTTTGTTCCTGTTCCTGTCCTATTTCATATTTTTTTTCTCTCTTTCCTTCTCTCAATTGTCATTATTCTTATAGGAAGGTAAATACAGTTTCTAGCTTCCCTATTGATGTTAGTTTATTCTGTTCTTGTTTTTGTTCCTTCACTCTGTCTTTCCCTCTTGTCTTCAACAGTTTCCCAAAGTTTGCATGATCATCCTGTGTCCTTTAGCCTCACCTCTAACCTTTTCCACTCCTTCTATCTCTCTATCCCTACCTCCCCAACTCTTTCTAAGTCCTCATCCAGAAGGATAAATTTGCTATATTGAAGGGTTTATTTACTACAAACATATTTTGGGCTGGTCCTTGATTTTGAACTAGTTCATGTGGTTAAAAGGTGACAGATCAATAACTACCACAGATTGTCATTTTCTAAGCTGTGTTTGATGCTATTGTTGATGCTGATTGTATCACTTGGGCTAAGGTATTGTGATTGAACTAATCAATTGTCCTTCCTGGTATACTGAAAACAAAATTGCCTGAGTCATTAGAGACTCAAAGTCTAAAGACCAGCTATGACTGGAAGATACTTCTGAGAAGAAATCATTCCATAAGGGTTCTAAATAGAAGCAAGAAAGACACTCACAATAAGCAATATTGAAGTATTAATCCAGGAACTAAACCAAAAACAGCACCAACAAGAAAAATAGAAATGAGAAGACAGCTAAACAAGGTGCAAATCCATCCAGACTTGAAGCTCACCAAAGGCAAATTCTGGAGCCACTGAAGCGGAAAAATCTAATAATCAACAACCTGGGCACCCTGAACTGATAGCACAGGAAGTAACAAAACAGATGAACAAGACTCTAGAAAAATTCAAAACAGAAATAATTTCCCAGATAACTACAGAGATGGTGAGCAGAATGAAAGATGTGATTAGAGGCTCTAGAATAGAAACATAAAAAAAAATAATAGATGAGTGCAGGACCATGATGGAAGCCATGAATGCCCAGCATAGGAAAGAAATGGAAACCATGAATGCCCAACATAGGAAAAAAAAATGGAATCCATGAAACAGATTCAAACAGATATCCAGGAGATTAAAACTCCATTGAAAGTATTTGCAGCAGAATAAGCCAATATGAACACAGAATATCAGATATAGAAGGCAGGATTGCAGTTAGTGACCATGAAAAGAGAGATTTCTTAAAGGGATCATGAGAAATCAATCCAGCAGCTGTCAGATGATGCAAAGAAGAATAACATAAGACTGATAGGAGTCCAGGAAAAAGCAGGAGAACATACAAATGACATATATATATATATATATATATATATATATGTGTGTGTGTGTGTGTGTGTGTGTGTATATATATATATATATATATATATATATATATATATATCTTCACAGAAATAATGGCAGAAAACTTCCCAAGCATAAGGAATGAATTTGACGTAGAGGTAAGTGAGGCATATAGGACTTCAACTAGCCATGATCAAAAAAATCTATACCTAGACATATAATAGTCAAGATTCCAGAAACTCAACAGAAGAACAAAGTCCTACAATCAGCTAGAGAAAAGAAACAAATCACATACAAAGAAAAGCCCATCAGAATCACAGCAGGCTTTTCAACACAAACCCTGAAGTCAAGGAGAGCCTGGAGTGAAGTATTTCAAGTCTTAAAAGAAAATAACCTCCAACCTAGATTTATGTATCCTGCAAATTATCTTTCAGAATTGAATGGGGAAAAATCAGAACTAAGATGGATTATGTAAAGGTACAAATTTCCAATGATGAATGTCATTATATTTTATACCTTAAATGTACCAATAAAACTAATTTTAAAAAATCAAGGGGGAAATAAGATACTTCCACAACAAAGAACACCTGAGAAATTTCATGAATACCAAACCAGCACTCCATACAATTCTAAACAATATCCTAGAAAAAGGCAATGAGCTTCATACCTCCACAGGGCCCAACAGAGCAAAGCCATTGGGCAAGGCAAGAAATTAAAGGGAAATGGGGGAAAAATAAAAACTAAAAGAGCCAACAACAGGAAAATATCATGACAAGGATAAGTCAATATGTATCAATTATAACCATCAATTTTTTATAACCATCAATTTTAATGGCCTCAATTCACCAATCAAAAGAAATAGACTGGTAGAATGGATTAAGAAGCAAAATTCAACAATATGCTATATACAAGAAACACACTTAATTAAAAAAGAAATTCATAGACTGAAAATAGAAAGATGGAAAACAATTCTCCATGTGACAGGAACCCAGAAAAAAAAGCAGAGTTAGCTATCTTATATTCAGACAAAGTAGATTTCAAATCAAATCTAACTAAGACAAAGAAGGTCACCAAAACCTTGTAAAGAGAACAATCCAAGAAGAAGAGATGACAATCATAAATATATATTCACCAAATACTAGTGCATCCAACTATATAAAACAAATATTAATGGACATGAAAAACCAAATAAGCACTAATACAATTGTAATGGGGAATCTCAATACCCCACTGTCACAAATAAAGAGTCCATCTGGACAAAAAATCAACAACGAAATATTAGAACTGAACCAAACTTTTGAACAAATGGATTTAATGTCTAAAGAGTGTTCCACCCCACAAAATCAGAATACACATTCTTTTCAGCTGCACACAGGTAATTCTCCAAAATAGACCAAATGCTGGCTCATAGAACATGTTTAAGTAAATGCAAAGGAATTGAAGTATCCCCTGTATATTATCAGACCGTAGTGCTGGTTTGGGAAGCAATAATCCCAAATTCATTCCTAGAAGCAAGCGTTATTTTGATTCCAAAAGCAGAGAAAGACCCAAGCAAAAAAGAGGACTACAGGCCAATCTCCCTAATAAACATAGATGCAAAAATCCTCTATATGATACTGGCAAACAGAATACAGCGGATCATCAAGAAGATCATACACCCTGACCAAGTTGGATTCATCCCAGGGATATAAGGATGGTTCAACATACGTAAGTCAATAAATGTAGTACAGTACATTAACAGACTCAAGGAGAAAAACCATATGATCATCTCAATAGATGCAGAAATAACATTCGATGAAATCCAGCACCCGTTCATGATAAAAACCCTACAGAAAATTGGAATAAATGGTCTTTATCTCAATCTGACAAAGGCTATCCATGAAAAACCCAACAGCCAACGGCATACTAACTGGTCAAAAACTGAAATCTTTCATGCTAAAATCCAGAACAAGACAAGGATGTCCATTATCACCACTCCTGTTCAATATAGTTCTGGAAACATTAGCCACAGCAATTAGACAACAAAAAGAAATAAAAAGAATAAAGACAGGAAAGGAAGAAGTTAAACTGTCATTATTTGCTGATGACATGATACTCTACATAGAAGACCCAAAAAACTCTGCTAAAAATCTTCTAGACTTAATTGACAGATTCAGTAGAGTAGCTGGGTACAAGGTCATCACTCTAAAATCAATAACCTTCTTGTACACAAATAACAGACTCACTGAAAGAAAAATTGGGGAAATAATTTCTTTCACAATAGCATCCCAAAAATGAAATATCTAGGAATCAATCTAATGAAGGAAGTTAAAGTCCTCTACCTTGAAAACTGCAACACTTTGAAAAAATGAGATTGAATGCAACATAAGAAAATGGAAAGACATCCCTTGTTCCTGGGTAGAAAGAAATAATACAGTGAAAATGGGCATACTTCAAAAACTGCTATATAAATTCAGTGCAATTCTTATTGAAATCCCAACAGTATATTTCACAGAACTAGAGAAAACAATCCAAAAATTCATTAGGAACCAGAAGAGACCTAGAATACCAAAAGCAATTCTAGGCAACAGAGACATGAGAGGGGGTATCACAATGCCCAACTTGAAACTATACTGCAAAGCCACTGTGATAAAAACAGCATGGTACTGTCAAAAAAAGAGACTGGAGGATCAGTGGAATAGATTAGAAGATGCAGAAACATCTCCAGACATACTCAGCCACCTCATCTTTGACAAAGGAGCCAACTACTCTCACTGGAGGAAAGATAGGTTCTTTAATAAATGGTGCTGGAAAAACTGGATTTCAACCTGCCACAGATTAAAATTAGACCCATATTTTCACCATGCACTAAACTAAAATCAAAGTGGATCAAAGATCTAAATATTAAAACAGAAACACTAAACTTGTTGGAAGATAAG